ATGGACAGACTGCCCCATGCAGACCACAGAGACTGGACTTCCAACCTAGAAGGGGTTTCCAGACTTCTACACCTTCTCACCTTGATGACCCCACAGATGATTCCACCTCCTGGGAGTCTCACTACCCTATGCAGTCAGCATTCTTTTCAGCCGATGAAAACGAAAACACCTACCCACTGGGGCTCAGTTAAACCCCTGATTCTCTGAGTGTCCCAATCTCTCCCGGCAGCCCCCAGAGCAGCCTGTGCTCTGGAGACAGCACAGGGGACAGGGAGAAGGGAACACTCTCACAACGGCTGCTGGAGGAAGCAGGGAAGAAACACATCCCCAGGATAAATGCTGGTAACTGCTCCTAGCTACTGTCCTCGCTCTAAACTCAGGTCCTTACGAGGGGGTCCTTTTCAAACCAGAACTAGGGAATTCAAAAGGAGAGAGAGAAAGAAAAAGAACATATAAGAACAAATTTAGAAACTTCTCAAAGGAGAGCTGACCCTTAAACTGGGCAATGACAAAGTCCACAGGGTCCCTGAAATACTTGAGCCCAAAATCCAAACATCAGATAGAACCACGATGTCCTGTGAGTAATCACCGATTCAGCAACAAGGCATTAAGGGCTTCTGAGGACAGCGGCCACAGTCTGGTAGGAAAACCGAACTTCACTCTGCTTCCCGGAAGTCAAGTCTCACTCCCTCACATCTCCAGAGCTGCTCTCACAGCCTTCCCCACCCAGTACCATCTTCCTTGACATGCTGTTCTTCCCATCTGCTTTCAAATATTCCCAGGTATCATGAGTCCAAAAAAATGCCCATTATTAAAGGGGAACTTGGGCTTCCCTGGTGGTCGAGGTTTTAAGAATCTGCCTTGCAATGCAGCGGACACTGGTTCAATTCCTGGTCTGGGAAGATTCCACATGCCGTGGAACAACTAAGCCATTGTGCCGCAACTACTGAAGCCTGCGTGCCTGGAGACCATGCTCCACGACAAGAGAAGCCACTGCAACACAGAAGCCCTCAAACCGCAAAGAGAGAGCAGTCCCCGCTCACAACCAGAGAGAGCACCACAGCAGCAAAGACCAGTGCAACCAGAAACAAGCAAAGCATGTTCTTTTAAATAAAGGGGAACTTACTATTTTAAGACAGTTAGGTTGTTGATATAATTTTCCTCCTCCTGTGGATGGTCCCTGTGCACCTCACTTATTTTTCTCCACTGTATTTTTTCATCATCTGACAAATTACACTTTTATCGGGTATCTCCCTCTCACCAGAATGTAAGCCATGAGGCAAGGATTCTGCTTTCTTCATTATTGCTTTCCTAGTGCACAGTAGGTTTTCTTAGTAGCTTTCCCTAGTGCCTGGCAATAGGTAAAAGCTAGTAGTAGCTTTTCCTAGTGTCTGGCAGATCCAAGATGATTAATATGAATTAGGGGAAAGAATTAATTTCAAAAATGATTCGATCACAAATAGAATTTTTACGCTTATGAAGAAGGTCAGAAAAGAACAGCAAATACCACTTTCACAGTGAAATGCCAGGGCACATCCATTAAAGCTGACGGCTGATAATTCACCATGCGCTGAGGTTCTACTTTCGGTAAGACTGGACAAGCAGCATAAATACAGCTAACGAAGTAACATAAATATCTTTGCTTGCAGATGAAATGGCTATCTGCCTAAAAAATATCCAAGACCCAAGAAAATAAATGAAAAACATTTAAAACTGACAAGATAATTCATTAAGTTAGCCAGATATAGGATACANACCTAGCAGAATGACCAAAATCCGAAACACTGACACCACCAAATACTGGTGAGGATGTGGAGCAACATGAACCCTCAGTCACTGCTGGTGAAAATACAAACTGGTGCAGTCACTTTGGAAGACAGTTTAACAGCTCCTTACAAAACTAAACACATTCTTACCATATGATCCAGCAATCATACTCCTTGGTATCTTCCCAATGAGCTAAAAACTTATGGCCACACAAAAACAAGCACAAAGATGTTTACAGTAGCTTTATTCACAACTGCCAAAACTTGGAAGCAAACAAATGGTCCTTCAGTAGGTGAATAAATTGTGGTATAATCAATGGAGTATTATAGAGCACTAAAAAGAAAATAAGCTATCAAGCCATGAAAAGTCACACAGGAACCTGAAATGAATACTACTAAGTGAATGAAACCAACATGAAAAGGTAGGATACCAACTACACAATATTCTGGAAAAAGCAAAAAGATCAACAGTTGCCAGGAAGGGAGGGCAGGACAAAGGATTTTTAGAGCCTGTGAAAAGACAGTGTATGATACGATAATAGTAAACACACATCATTTATACATGTGTAACTCATAGAACGTACAACACCAAGAATGAACCCTAGTGCACGTTATGGACTCTAGGTGACTATGGTATGTCAATGTAGGTTCATCAGTTGAATTAATGTACCACTCTGACAATAGGCTATCCATGTATGGGGCCAGAAAGCATTTGGGGACTCTGTTCTTTTTACACAATTATGCAATGAACCTAAAATTTCTCTCTGGAAAAAAAAAAAAAAGAGTCTACTAAAAAAAGAAAGATGAGGGTGCAGGGAGAGCAATACTTAATCTCTTACCTGGACTGAAACATCCTCCTAATTGACTCACACTCTTGCAACCAACTCACCACTGTGGGCCAAAAATATTTTTAATATGTAAATCCATCCCTTTCACATGCCCTGCTTAAAATCCTTTAGGGTCTTCCTACTGAACTCAGAAGTGAAACCAAAATCTTCATAGTGACCTCCAAAACACGTGCCTAATTGTCCCACCTCACAATGAACTACTTCCTCTAACCTCTCTCTATCTCTAGAATACACCCAGCTTTCTCTCCTACCTCAAGGCTGACACATTTGCTATACTCTCTGGAAAGTTTGGCTTTGGCTCTCTCCAGTAGTTCTCCATCCTATTTTTACCCCTTTCATGATGTCTCAAGCTCATGTGACCACCTCCACAAGGGCTTCCCTGACAACCACCTTGAAAGGGAGCTTCTTTGAGGCTTCTCAAATTTGAGAGGATGCGTAAGAATCACCCACAGAATTTACTACAGCAGATTCCTAACCCAACCTACCCTCCTCCCCAGTATGATTACTGATCTAGGGTGGCACCTAGCAATTTGCAATTTTAATAAGCACCCAGGTGATCCTGATGCTGCCCAGCTATGGACCTCACTGTTAGGAAGCACTGTACTTGAGCAACAGGTACTTATGATATCAACTTACTTGTTTTTGGTAAAAGTACCTTCCATGAGAAAGGAGAACTCGTCTGCATTATTCAGCCCTATGTGCCTAGCGTCTGAAAGCACATATGGAAGGAACAATGCAGGTCTCTCTGGGATACCCCTAGATTTGTGGAGCAATCTCTTCAATTAAGAATTTTTCTCACCTAGCAACCTTATTTATTTTTTGGCTAACCCCATATTCCTAATTTATCCTCCATCCCCAACATGCTTCCCTTTAGGCAAAGTTGTTTTCTATATCTGTGCAAACAACTTTTATTTGTAGAATATCTCAAATGATCTCAATTTTCATGGTCTGGGGAATTTCTTGACATGGGTCCCCCGTTTTCTACTTAAATCTATATATACAAACTCTTCACTCTACACACAAGACTCTAAACTCATCCACCACGTATTTACAACCTTAGCCCGGGGCATGGACTCAAGAGGGAAACCACAGCCTGGCCAAGTGAGGCCTTTTTGGTCCCTTCCTAATGACCTGATAGCTAATGTGACTTTTAAGACTGAAATGAAGGTAGGCTCACCTGAGGCCAAGTGATTTGGAGCATGGCTGATGTCCCCTGGCTCTGTGCACTCTTCCCGGTTTGGAAAAGCAAGAACCCTAAAAGCTAAGAGAAGAAGAGCCATGAGCGTAATGGTCCCTTTTCTACATCATCACCCACAACCGCCCAGTCTTCCATCTCATTTCCAGCATTGGCAGGAGTCTCTACCAGCCCTCCACTGGCTGACTGCCCCCACCTCTTCATGAATCGCTCTTAGGGACAATTCACCACCTGTCTCCTCTGCCTAAGAGCCCAGTAGGGCCCATTCACACCGAGTGGACCGAGACACGCATGACGAACCCGGGCCCTACAGTGCTGGGTCTGAACAAACTTAAAAACCTAAAAAAGTGCTTATGGGGACCACGTCACTGACTCCCCAAAGTGCCCATAGACAGGAGACAAGGGTGGCTGGATTTGGACTGAGTGAAATATTCATGGTCATATTAGCTATCAGGGCACGGGAGACCCCAAGAGGCTCTCCACCCAAGCAAGCGGGAGACCCCAAGAGGCTCTCCACCCAAGCAAGCAGGAGACCCCAAACATCAGAAACTTCAGTACCGGCCACGGGGGGCTGTTGGGCCAACTTCTTTTAAACAAACAGGATCACGCCTCGGTGGCAAGGGACTGGACCGGGGCTCTAGGAGGCCCCGCAGCCACCTCTGCGGCTTCTGTGAGGCCCAGACGCCGGGGCATCCGGTCAGAGAGAAGCGAGTTCAGGGGCAGAAGCAAGCAGGAGACCCCAAACATCAGAAACTTCAATACCGGCCACAAGGGACTGTTGGGTCAACTTCTTTTAGACAAAAAAAAGGATCCCGCCTCTGTAGGCAAGGGACTGGACCAGGGCTCTGGGCCCGCAGCCACCTCGGCGGCTTCTGTGAGGCCCAGACGCCGGGGCATCCAGTCAGAGGGAGGCGAGTTCAGGGGCAGCGTGCTGACGAGGCGCTAAGGAAAACGAGGAAACCGGCGCCTAACGGGACTAACAAGAAGAGCTCGCCAGAATTTACCCTCTTTCCCTCATAACCCCTAAAGCGGTTCTCTCAAAGATCATGCAGAACCGAGCGCAGGTGTCCACCATCCCTCTAGGCCGCCCATCTCGGTGGTTCCGGCGGCGCGACCTCACGTAACCCGAAGGGGCTGGGCTCCGGACAGGCGCTTGCCCGTGACGTCATTGGTGGGCGCGGTAACACAGAACTAGAGGCTGGTCGCTCCGCCCTTGTGCTCCATCCGCTGAGTCAACTAGAGTTTGGGTTTCGCGGCACCCCTTAATCTACTCAGATCGCGGCCTCTGGGCCCAGGTATGTGCTATGTGCTAAGGCTCTTCAGTAGTGTCCGACTCTGCGACCCCATGGCTCCTCTGTCCATGGAATTTTCCAGGTAAGAACACTGGAGTGAGTAGTCATTTCCTCCTCCGGGGGATCGTCCAGACCCAAGGATCGAACCCGCGTCTCCTGCATTTGCAGGCGAATTCACCACTGGTCCACGTGGGAATCCAGTGCAAGCGGCTGAATGGTTGCAGTCCTGAGGATTTCCCAGGAGGTGTACACTACTTGTGGTTGCCATTACAAATAACAGGTACATTGCTCCAATGTGCCCACGCGGCCTGGGCCCTGTGCCTGCACCACTGTGGGAGAGCTGGAAGTGGGAAGAGTAGTGCCCACCATTTCAGTGGCCAGATGTGTACGGGTTGAGAGCGTCAGCCAATTAGTTCCAGAAACCTGGCTGAACCACTCAAAATAACGGGATCAGCAGCAGTTGCTTTGCCTGATTCACTGTCTGTTATATGGGTATGATGGGGGTACCTCCACAAAGGGCTGTTGAAGTTTAATCATTAAATGAATTCACAGATTGGCACAGTGTTTACGGTGGTGCCTGGCACGAAATAAGTGCTTGTGAGTCTGTTCTGTTTTGTAACTGTATTGTTTTTAGAGATACAAGCCCTGCTGGGACTCCAACCTGTAACAGAGTTTAGGGAAACAGTGATTAGCATTTATTCTTAGAGCCCTTTCCCACCATACACCTGTATGTGTGTTCCAGGCCCAACTTGGAGAAATTCAGCACCTCTGTCCAGAAAGGTTTTAATTACAAAGGCATCTTCAGTTTGTGCAACTACAGAGGGCCAGGATAGTAACTGAACCAGGAATGGCTTCTCTCCTGTGGCCGCAGGTACTGTGGTACCCAGGGACTTCTCCTCTGCTGTTTCAGATGCCCTGTGATGGAACCTTTAGCGCTCAGTTGCTCAGTCATGTCTGACTTTGCAACCCCATGGACTGTAGCCTGCCAGGTTCCTCTGTCCATGGGATTTTCCAGGCAAGAATACTAGAGTGGGTTGCTGTTTCCTCTTCCAGGAAATCTTCCCGACCCAGAGATCAAACCCATGTCTCTTCTGTCTCCTGCACTGGCAGGCAGATTCTTTACCACTAATGCCACCTAGGAAGCCCTATGATGGGGGCCTTTCACACACTGTATACTCAAATTCTCCTGCAGTTAAGCATTTGCTTCACATTGCTTCAGCCCAGCTCCCTTTTGTAATTACACATATAAATAGATACTGAAATCAAACAGAAACAGCTAGATAGCAAAGCAATCCAAAGGGAAAAACTAATATGTTTGAAAACATGAATTTGTTGCAATCAATAACGGCCTTTGTATAATAACTAAGATTTATGAGACCTTAATATGTGGTAGAAACTATGCTAAGGCTTTATAAATAAGCAGCACTGCTTTTCATCTTCATTTATTAGGTAGGTACTGTTATGTTCCCCATTTTACAAGTGAGAATACTGAACCTCAAGAAGTTTAGATGTAATATGAGGCCACAGAGCTAGAAAAGCCTATTAACCAACATCTGTACAGTTTCTCCTGGGAGCTGAAAAGCATTTTAAACACCATGGAAACATGACAGAGAATCCCCTGCCCACAGCCTCTGCTGCACTGCTCAGTCCTCCTGTGTTTCCGCAGCAGTTGTCTGAACTGCCTGATGTCATGTTATTTGCAGTCCTCCTCCTGTCCCTCCTAGATTCATGCTCTACTCATCCTACTATCCCAATGGTGTCTTCCAAAATCTCCTAAATCCCACGGCCCCCAAAGACAGGTGTGAATAATTGGCACAGGAGACCTCCCTGTTTGTAGACTTTGTCTGTAGAAACTGATGTGGGTTTCTAGCCCCCAGAAAATTGTATTGACAGGTGCTTCCACTTGATGCAATTAAATGGATCTTCTGAAAATCATGTCCTCTCTGTAGACAAAGGTATCTCCCGCTGGGATAATCTCATCTCACCTCAAACCACATTTCCTCAAACACACCCCCACCTGGGTGGACACACATCCATCCACACCTGCCATAACTGCTTGTCAAAGGGGAAGCCAAGTCAGGCCTGAGTCTGGCACTGACTTCTCTGAGCGCTCATCTAAGAAAAGCTGTCAGGAAGCTAGCATTCCTGCAGACCCACTGTGTGCCGTGTTCTTCACAATCATGATCTTAGCCTGCCAGCAGCTCTTCAAGGTAGTTACCTCTTACCCTCTTTGTACACGTAAGGGAGCTAAGGCTCAGGGCTTTGGGTGACTTGCCTCTGGTCATGCAGCTGGTAAGCAGTAGGAATTGGATTTGGACCCAGATATATTTGACTCAAAAACCTCTATGCTGTGGTAGATGTATTTCCCCACCTTCCTCACATCAGTCTTTCTCCAGAGAAGAGCTGTGGCTCCACTGGTGACTGGCTGTTTCCCTTTTCTCTCCCTTCTCTCCCCTTCCTCCCTTCACCCCTCCATCCCCACTAGTGAGTTGTAATGTTGGAACCTGGGGATTGAGAGGTTCCATATATGGGAGTCAAGCCCATCAGTCCCTCATTCATTCCACTGTGAGTCTGGGAGATCATGTGATTGTTTTTCAGATGACACCCGTGTTCTCTGCAGAGGCACAGATTGAAAAGAATTCATAAGAGGATTTTCAGAGCGTGTGTTTGTGATGGGTTTGGTTGTATGCACAGCGTGCAGAATTTATGAGCATTTAAGAAATCAGCCCCCACTGCAAAGCACCTTCAGTGCTTCTCCCAGATGCCAGTTCCCCGTGATGCCAAGGTGCCTCTGCCAAATCAGAGGACGTTTAGAAAAAACACTGCATGGAATATCTGCAGAATAATGTGATAGGAAGAGGAGCAGCCTAGCCTCTGCCACTGAACGCAGAGTCCAGCTTGCCTGCTGTGCCCTCTCTTCCTCTCTTTTTCCGAGTCTGGCTACTGAAATCTCTCGTGCGCGCTCAGGAATCCTGGAGGATGAGTGAGGCCCATGTGTGAGTGGTGCCATTTGTACAAAACTCAGAATATCCAAGACACACAGAGCCTCCCAGTTTTAAGACACAGAGACTTGAGAATAAATCCTCCTAGGTTCAGTGGGATTTCCCTGGTGGTTCAGTGGTTAAAACTCTGGGCTTCCAATGCACAGGGGGTGGGTTCAGTCCTTGAAAGGGAACTAAGATCCTGCATGCCACACAGCTAAAAATAAGTAACCAAATTCTAGTAGGTTCAGTGAGACAAAATGGCTCAATGTATTCTTATGGCTGCACCATCCCTTTTATTGGGTTTGGCCTGAATGGAACCTGCCTTGGAACCCAGGACATTTTCGGAAAATAAATAGTGCTTAGGGAAGGTCTAAATCTTTGAGGGGTATAACTACAAAGAGCCTCTAAAGGTTTGTGGCAGGGTGAAAAGACTTCTTTTACATCAGTCTTACTCTCTGACCACCCCATTCAACCCACCAGGAGAAAAACCTAGGGATTACAGAACACTTATCTGGTGCTTAGACCACACATTGTCAGTTAATTCCAGAAATCTCCAGAGTGCAACATGGAACGAGAAGGGATGGAATCCTAAGGATAGAACTGTAGTAGACAAGAAATGAAGGCAGCCTTTTGTTTATGTGAGGAATAGTCATCTGTTCATGTAAAACTGAAGGAAATGAAGTCTCACTGTGGGGAAGTGTATTTGTTCTTAAACTGCCTTAGAAGGACACCAGCAACAATGCAGGTGAAGCCCTTCCCCCGCTAACATTCTGCACTGGTCAGAGAAACAGAACCAACGGGGTGTGTGTGCACAGAGAGACTAAGAAATTAGCTCATGCAGGGACTTCCCTGGCGGCCCAGTGTATAAGAATCTGCTTGCCGAGGCAGGGGACGCAGGTTCAGTCCCTGGTCTGGGAAGATTTCACATGCTGCAGAGCAATTAAGCCTATGTACCGCGATTTCCGAAGTCCGTCCTCACGCCTGGAGCCCGTGCTCCACAACGGGAGAAGCCACTGCAGTGAGAGCCCTCCCGCCACAACAGAGAGCAGCCCCTGTCAGCCACAGCTGGGACAAAGACCCAGTGCGGCCAAAAATTAATAAATAAAAACCACGTCTTTAAAAAGTTTTAAAGAGATGAGCTCATGCGTGTTTGTGTGTGTGTGTGTGTGTGTGTGTGAAAGTTGCTCAGTCGTGTCTGATTCTTTGCAGCCCCATGGACTGTACAGTCCACAGAATTCTCCAGGCCAGAATACTGGCATGGGTAGCTGTTCCCTTCTCCAGGGGTCTTCCCAACCCAGGGATTGAACCCAGGTGTCCCACATTGCAGGCGGATTCTTTACCAGCTGAGCTACCAGGGAAGCCAATGGAATATTACTCAGCCAGTGAAAGAAATGAAATAGGATGATTTGTAGATACATAGATGAACCTAGAGTCAGTCATACAGAGTGAAATCAGAAAGAAAAACAAATATTGCATATTATTGCTTTTATGTAGGATCTAAAAAATGGTACAGATTAACTTATTTCCAAGGCAGGAATAGAGATGCAGACATAGAGAATAGACATTTGGACATGGGGCGGGGGTGAGGGGGGGCGGGAGACTGAGATGAATTGAGAGATTAGGATTGACATATATATACACTACCATGTGTAAAATAAATAGCTAGTGGGGACTTGGTATTAATATAAAGCACAGGAAGCTCAGCTCAGTGCTCTGGGATGACCCTAAAGGGGTGGGATGTGGGAGGTGGGAAGGGATATATGTATACATATGACTGATTCACGTCATTGTTTAGCAGAAACTAACATAGCAGTGTAAAGCAATTATACTCCAATAATAAGAAAGAAAGAAACTGGTTTGTGCAGTTGTGGAGGCTTGGAAAGTCCAGAATCTGCCCGGCGGGCCGGCAGGCTGGAGACCCAGGGAAGAGCTGCCGTCTGAGCGCAGACGTGGTCAGGGACCGGAACCCCTCTCCCCGGGGAGCTCAGCCTTCTGTCCAGGTCAACATCACTACTTCCA